GGAAAGACCAAAATATCACAGAATCCAGAAATCTAGGCCCTGTGTGGTTACAGTAAAACAGCTTTTAGTTCACATCTGAAACTTAACCCAGGACCAATTATGAATGCAAAAGCATATGTAGTTATTCCAATATAAAATGGACTGTTATTCCTTATGTCTTTTCAAGTAGCATGTCAGATTTGAAACTATGATATGTGCATTCAAGTATTGCAGAAAAACTTTTGGCCAACTTTCTTTTCAGCCTTAAAGAAACCAGATCATTTTGGAGGGAAACAGTATGACCATTCTGTTGCTCTACCATTCAGAACTGAGTGTTGCATTTTTTCCCTCTTTGGCAAAACTGCTGACTTGAAGACCTTATGGACCTTTCAAGCCTCTTCATTAATACTGATGAGATATTAAGAATATCTGGGATGTCAAAATATTTAAGTAGATTAATTTTGCTACTAGGATTTGAGTGTTTCATGCTTTCAGGGTTGCAATGGGAACACAGAATCTTCTCTGAAGGGTAAGCAATACTAAGTACATGAGCCTGGCTCATTGAGTTTTAATCTTTGATTCTGGGTTTGCTTACATGTTTATAAATAACAGATGTCAAAATAGTTCTCATGATTGTTAATTAATAGCACATTTGAAGAATTATCTCAGATCTATAGCATCATGTGGTTGAAGCGATCTTTCTACACCTGCAAGCTGTACAGTTAAAGTATGGGAATTAACTTACATTAAAGTGAAATTAACTCCAAGGGACTCATTAGATGAACTGTAAAATTAAGTACTTGGAAAGAGATACAAGCAAAGCTGCAGTAAACCACTGTAAAGATCAGAGTGTGGTTATGTGGGTACAAGCAGTGTGAATGAAGTAGTGTTGAGTACTCGTTTGGAAGAGGAAAAAATCTGAGACGATGGGCACCGACCACAACAGCACATCAGAATTCCTGCCACTCCTCCAGGTAAGCAGAAATGTGCTTCACAGAGAACTGCTTTTCTTTCTGGCCCTCCTCGTTCTGGGAGCAGAAGGCTGACTGCTTTCCCGGCAGCCAGATACCCTCTGGCGCCAACTAACTTCTTTAGAGTTGAGGCAGTGTCAATTTCTTAAGTCTGATAGGAGAACTACTGAAAAATATGGGCTTGGCACAATTCTGCATGACTGCCCTGGTATATTTGGGTTGCATTTTCCTACATCCCCTAATACAAAGAAATCTTTGAAACAATCTCATCCATGAGAGGAAAAGACTGGATGATATTGCTCTAGAGTAGTACTGTCTTACCCTAAAAAAAAAAAATTAAATTAAATTAACACTATTACTTAAGCATTGTGGATGTATAATAGCTTCAAAGTCTGTAGTAACTACATAGGCTGCTATTCCACACTAATTTCCTGATGAAACAGAAGATAAATTCCTGAGCTGAAACTAAGTGGGAATTGAAAGAGAAAGGCTTCAGCTTCCTGGCTTGTGCAGATGCAGTTAACTTTCTCTTTATGGAATCATAAATGAAAAATAGTTTCTGATGAAATATCTGTGTGTTTCAGGCAGAATCTATTCTACTATGGTATTGCAAGAAGTTTTAAAAGGTTGTTGAACTGATTGGAAATCTAACGTTTCCTTTGCAACCTGGCCTGCTATCAATCTTGTGAGCAGTTAATAGACCTCAGCCATCAGGCTCTCAAGGCTTGTCTCATAACAGTGACTGATAGGCTGGGGACTAATACTGTGTGCTGTGAGAAATTGCCTCCTTCCTCTGAGAACCTTGACAAAGAATTGGACTCTTTAAACCACTTAAGGGGGTGATCAAAACTGTCCTGCTTGAACTGGAAGATTTTTTTTTGACAGTTCTTGGAAGAGGCCCTTAAAGGAGAATTCCATTGCTGAGCTACTGCTCATAATCATGAAAAATCTTGTCATCGTATGAGTTTCCTGTGCCATAACCCTGTGGAGACAGAGGGGCACAAACTAGTCAAAGTGGTGCCATCAAATTTTTCAGGGTGAATGTCACAGGTAGAGGGCACATTTATTGGTACTGTAGAGCATGAATACCTGAACTGGGTAAGATATTACCTACTTAGGTCTGCTGTAAATATGAAGTATGTTTATATTTTGGCAGTAATTAGCCTTTTTATTCCACCTATGACTCAATTTAAGGAAGTTACCAAAGATTCAGATGCTCATAATGATTTCCTTTCATGTCAGTGTTCTAAGGCTGTGGGAAGGAAGCTCTCATAGGAAGGATGAAAAGGACTAGGGGATTAAAAGAAGGTATCATTTAGTAGAGGTCTCCAGTTTCTTCCACTGTGAAGGAAGGTGGGTACTGACTGGATATAGCACAGGTCTGTGAGTTTTCTTTTTAGTTCTGGTTAGCCCTGTTCAGGAGATAGTTGGCCAGTTACTTCAAACCACCCAAAACTTACAAGGGATTTTACAGAGATCTAAACACCTAACAATTAGAAAACAGACAGTTATTAACCCTTAAAAGGTGGGTTGCTTTATGTTTTGTTGGTTTGCTTGTTTTTCCAAACTATAAGAACAATGCTGAAAGAAGCCAGAAGCAGAAAGAGATAACTGGCTAGGCCTGCAGAGTAAGATCTGTCTGTGCTCTTGACTTTTGCTCTACTAGCTTGATTTCTCAGGATTTTAGCTGCTTGGCTTGACAGGAGAAATTCATGCAACTGTTTCTGATGCTTTTGTTTGCTCTAGATTTATAGAAGATATTGAGCCATGAAAATAAGAATCCAGCCTCTTGAACTGGAATGTTATTAGCTTATAAAAAATTTGCTGGCTTGCATCAAAGTCATAAATACTCTAATGCTGCTTGTGTCAAATCTCTATTGCACAGCCACATGGGGAAGAGATTGCATTATTTGTTCCTCTTAGCCACCACAATAAACGTTTGATATGGAGTTTTGAGGAGAGGTAGAGGAAGGATGCCATTAAGAGCATGGAAGACAAGTGGAAAATCAGGGTCCTGTCTAGACATACACTCACTGTGTTATATTGGTGTCATCCCGCTTAAGAACTACATTCACCTTCCAAAACTCTTCTCTGAGCACACCCTACAACAGCAGTCCATCTTCCCAAACACTTTTGCAAGTTACAGCACGGAAAAACAGAACCATCTACTATTTGTTTCCCCAGCTGGTCAGAATTAAAAAAAGAAAATGGTAGGCTCTGCAAAATCTTGTATAACAGTTCCAAAACCTCTTCCAAACACTCCTATTTGGGCTTAAAAAAAAAAAAAAAAAGCAAACACTCCTCCAATGCAACTTCATCTTTTCCATAGAAATTGTATTCATTTCTACAGTACTCTCTTTAAATTGTGGTGAAAATTAACCCAATGGCTTGTAGTACTAAAAGAGGCAATTCCTTAGTATTAGAAAAAGAATTGTTGACCTGTACTAAGCCCTAGCTACAGATGGCCTATAACAAAACTATAAAAAGTGCTAAGTTGTTATTGATAAAATTGTGCAATGAAGGGGAAAATATGATATTTCAATCTTTTTCTGGTTCTTTGCAAACACATGCTATTATAACTTTGTACTTTCCATATTTTTTTTGTCCCACTTTCTACATCAATTCAGCAAGGGATTATTTATAGATAAGGATACTTAATAGAATATTTTCAGTTGGAAGGGACCCCCTCTGATCATCTAGTCAAGGTGAGATTGCACCAACGCTATTTCGGGTGCAAACTAACCAATAAGGTATGCAGGTTTTCATTAATATTCCAAGAATTCTTTCTTTGACTACGGATATAAAACTTGTCTATTCAAAAGTATTGCACAGCAAAATAGC